GAAATATAGACTAGAAAAGATATTTACACTTGCTCTGTCCTACGTCCATGACACTGACTCAGTGCGGAGTTGCCAGTTTTAATCTTAACAGCTCTTAACGCCGAATGTGCACTTGGATGGTTAGATACATGATGGGCTAGTATAAAAAAATAAAATAACTTAAGGTCTTTCCAGCATTAGGGTAATCCTGCTTTTTTTTTTTTTTATAATCTTGTCTCAGTTAAAAATGTGACTGGTAAATGATAAAGAATGATAGCCCCTTTTGTATTGCATTGCATTGCATATGACAGATTGATAAAAAGACATGCTATTTATGACTGGATGTAACTTTTGATACTTCACGATAAAAGTGGCTCTCCGATTGACTTTGCCCTATCAGTGCGGCTCCCATGAAAAAAATAGTGAAGACCACTGGCGAAGACAGAGAAGACAGAACGCGCACTGTTTATTTTCTTTATTATGCAAAAGCACAAAGTTTTGTTGTTACTGTGCTTACCTACTTACCATCTGGCGCTACGGACCCAGTGGTCCCTGGCCTCTACAACCATCCTCTTCCATGCTTGCCGCTCGAAATTGGGCCGCAACCCTACGCTTCTCATATGCCTCCTCACTGTATCAGCCCATCGGTTTCTAGGCCTTTCCCTTGGCCTAATACAGAAAGGCTGTGCCCCGAATACTCTCTGTGCCAGTCGTTCCTCTCCCATCCTTCGAAGGTGCCCATACCACCGGAGATTGGTAGCTGAAGTTTAACAAATGTTGATAGTGATGCCTCCTGATACAGTGCTCTCAGCTCCTCATTCCTTCTCATCCTCCAATGTCCACCCTCATTCACAGGTCGAAATATTCTCCTTAGTAATTTCCGCTCGAACATATCCAACATGTCTGCGGACTTTTGGGTAAGGACCCAGGTCTCACTCCCATATGAGACTACAGGTCTACTGAGGGACTTATACATTCTGAGTTTGGAGTACCATGAGAGACTACAGCTTTTAAAAAGGCTACTGAGGGCAAGGTAGCTCCTATTACCAGCTGTTATTCTTCTCTTGATCTCACCAGTCTCAGAGCACTCAGCACTAACAGAGGACCCCAGATACACAAAGTTCTGTACTACCTCATATTCATGTTCACCCAATTTGAGGGCTCGCCTTCATTCCGGGTGTCTGGTAGTTTTCATCACTTTTGTTTTATCAACATTGAGTTTCAAGCCCGCTGGGTGACACTCTTCTTCTATCCTTCCCAATGCTATAGGCACATTCCTTTCTGTCCTACCCACCACGTCCAGGTCATCCGCGTAACCGAGCAGTTGCACAGATTTATTAAAAATCGTACCTCTTTGGATATCCATGCCAGCCATCTGAACAACCTTCTGCAATACAATATTAAAGAGTAAAGGTGCGATAGGATCACCTTGCCGCAGCCCATTAAGGACTGAGAAAGGGGTTGACACCTGTCCATTTCCCTTAACTCTACTCTGGGTTCTTTGCATTGTCATCCTTGTCAATCGTATTAATTTCTTTGGAAAACCCATCTTGTTCATAGCTCGGTATAAGAATCTCCTGTGGACACTATCATAGGAAGTAACTCCGAACTCCCAAGCTTTCTCACACATTTGTCGAAGAGTAAAAATTTGGTCAATTGTCGACCTATTAGCTCGGAAACCACACTGATAATCTTCTATCAGACGTGCATCAATTGGTGTTAGACGATTGTACAGCATTATAGACAATACCTTGTATGCTACACACACAAGGCTGATCCCTCTGTACTTCTTGCAGACGGCATTGTCTCCCTTTTTTAAAATTGGGACAATAACTGCTTCATTCCACTCATAATAAAATTATGCCATGCCTCCACAATCACTTCATGCAATGCTTCCACAACTGAATCCCCCCCGTACTTGAGGAGTTCACCGGGTATGCCATCTATCCCACCTGCCTTGAAATTCTTTAGGGTCCTTAATACAGTTTTTGTTTCCTCTAATGTTGGCAGGAATTGATCCTCCCCTTGATTCCTTTCCATTTCCAGTTCCTCTTCTCTTTCCTCATTCCTCTCTTCCACCCTGGTGTTCAGCAGGTTATTAAAGTGTTCAATCCATCACTGTAATATGTCTTCTGTTCCCATCAGTAGGTTCCCCTGCTCATCCTTTATTCCTAGATTACCAAATTGTTATCCATTTTTAGATTCCTTAATCCCCCTATAGATTTTCCTAGCTTCGTTATTTCTTCTTCGATTTTCTAGCTCTTCGATTCTACTGGTTAGATATTCCCTCTTCTTTCTCCTAAATCTTCTTTTCGCAATTCTTCTAGCTTCCAGGTATTCGTTCTTAATTAGTCTGGTCGGACATATAATCCATCTTTCTCTAAGTCTATTTATATCCTACTATAGTGTATAGTCTATTCTACTGTTTAAGACGTTCCCACTTCCTCTCAACCGGTAACTCAGCTGGGTAAAAAATGCCATTGTCACTCCTCAGTTGCAGTTCAGACCTAAGCTTCCTCTCTACACCCTCCTGGTACCTAACCCTAGTTTCCTCATCCTTTAACTTGGATATGTTCCATTTAGGTGTAGACTGTTCTAGATTTCTCCATTTCTGCATGCTCAGTCTTTGACAGCACTTTGCACCACTGGGAAGTGGTCAGATTCAACATTCGGCCCTCTATACGATCTGACATCCTTCACACAGGTAGCATGTCTTCAGTCCACAATTATGTGAACTATCTGATTACAAGTGCCTCCACCAGGGGACTTCCATGTCTGCTCGTGTATGTTCTTGTGGGGGGAAAAGGTGATCATCAGCCGACATTGTTTGGACGCCGCAAAACTGATCATGCGCTCTCCATTATCACTTGAAACCTCATGAAGGCTGTGTCTACCTATTATTATTGGCCGGTAAGCTTCTTCTTTTCCAACTTGGGCATTAAAGTCCCCCAATACAATCTTCATATCATATTCCGCCGTACGATTGTAAGCCTGCTCTAACACACTCAGAAATCATCTTTCTCCTCCATAGTTTTATCCTCTGTTGGGGCGTGGGCATTGACTAGGGTGATGTTACAGAATTTTCCTTTCAATCTCAGTGTGCAAAGACGATCAGAAATTGCCTCAAAATTCAAAATCGCACTTTTCAATCTTGTTTTTAGAATGAATCCAGTCCCAAAATGATGTGGGCCATCACTACCACTATACAAGAGGGTTTAGTCTTTCCCCCGCACCATTCCTTTCCCACTCCATCTAATCTCTTGTAAAGCTATTACATCACAGTTATACTTATCACATTCTCTAGTTAGTTCTGTGAGGGCTCCAGGTCTATACAAAGTTCTTACATTCCATGTTCCTAAAGAGTCCGGACTTCTTCAGTCCAGGTTTGTATTTTCCAATTGTCCGTCCAATTCCGAGGCTTGGTTGCATATTCGTAACATATTTATTTTCCGGGATGGGGTTGTTAACCCCAAGGCCATCCCCCAACCTGGAAGACCAGCAGGTTTTTATCGGGGCCCTGACCCCCTAGCTAGTTTTGGTCCACCCCGAGTATTTCATTTCCTCGGTACCACCCATATCTGGGAGGCGTTCCCTAATCCGCCACCTGGGGAGGCGCCCGATGGGGGACCAGTTGTTATTGTGAGTGTACACAAATAAAAGTAGACACTTAACAGTTTCGAATGATGTATAACACTTATTTGTGTGACAAAAATCGACAAGTGTATTTTTAGTGTCTTTCACACTGATCTTAAAAAAAGTAAGCTGGTCGCGCTGGCGTGACCGTCGACCCCAGGGAGTTAAGTCTCCCCAACTAAGCAAGCAAGAGGCAACAGCGGCAAGGGACCAACACTCCATCGGTGACAGAAATGGAGAAAAAAACCTTGGGAGAGACCAAGCTCAGTCGGGGGGCCAGTTCTCCTCTGACGAAGACAAAACCAGCAGTTTGTTCCATGCAGCAGCAAAGTCAGATTGTGCAAAGGACTCATCTGGTTCCCGTGGTCTTGTCCCGATGGCCGTCTAGGTGACGAGGTCTTCACTAGGGATCTGTCTCTGGTGCTCATCTAGTTGTCCTGATCTCCGCTGACATTCAGGGCTGTAGAGGTCATCTCTAGGTCCTGATATACCATCTGGGCTGGATACGGACTGGATCCGGGTGACTGCAGTGACCATCTGATCTGGATACAGACTGGATCTGGTGGCTACGGTGACCTCGGAATAAGAACGAAACAGACTAATATTAGCATAGATGCCATTCTTCTTATGATGTAGCATGTACATCAGATATTATGGGAAGTGTTCCCGGTTCCAGTTGACTTAATTAATGCAGCCTAACAATCCTTTAACGGATTTGAATATTAGAAATGTGTTCGTGTGTTATGTGTAAGCCAGGTTAAAGAGATGGGTCTTTAACCTAGATTTAAACTGACAGAGTGTCTCTGCCTCCCGAACAATGTTAGGTAGATTGTTCCAGAGTTTGGGTGCTAAATAGGAAAAGGATACGCCGCCCGCAGTTGATTTTTATATTCTAGGTATTAAAAAATGGTCATAGTTTTGAGAACGCAGCGGACGTGGAGTACTATAATGTGATAAGAGCTCACTCAAGTACTGAGGTGCTAAACCATTGAGGGCTTTATAAGTAATTAGCAAGAATTTGCCGCTCCCAAACACCTCCCATATACAAAGCAGCAGGTGAATTGAAAGTATCAGTAGCAAGTAATCTGACATTTTTTTGTTGATTACAGTCATTTAAGGCCTTCTGCAACTCACGTAGTCCTCCAACAAAATCAGTCTGATTATCCGATCTTATCTCAGAGGACGGGCCTCTCCTAGCAATAAACCTTTGTAAGGCATTGATAAAGAAATCTGTGTTGAGAGTGTGCACTACTTCTAAATGGATTGCTCTCATAGTGCACAAGCATCCATACCTCTTTCGCTCACTGTGTCCCTTCTTAATCAAGAATGGTCCAAAATAGGCTGCGTCCAAATGAGTGAACGGAGGTTTTCCCGGTATCACTCTAGAATTAGGGAAGTCTACCATTAACTGATCCTGGGGTTTAGCTCTTAGCTTGCGAGACTGCAGACATGATTTAAAGGGGTCATGAACTGCCTTTGTTTTTTTATTTTTGTACTGTTCACTGAGGACCACTTATAATGTTATCAATTTTTACATCAAAAAACATCGTAATTTAGAAGTAATAAGATATTTTCTGTCCTGTTTTAACCCACCTCATCAGAACGCTCTGTTTGAATAGGCGTGGCAGATTGTAGACTCGGATGTAAATGCCCATGCTATGATTGCCTAATAGTTGTGTATGTTTGAAAGTGTACATTCCTCATAGATGGACTCTGCTGTGATTTAGGTCAAAAACGCATAAATAACTCAATACATATTAAACAATCTGTGAGACGAGACAAAGCATTAGTGACCATGTAATGAAAACAGTTAATCCACACTTTTGTGTTGTGACAGAGTCGGATCCAATATAGTCGGCACGGCATTGTCTTTTAGTTTCAATCTTTCTGAAAATCCAGGGTCGAATTGTGCCTTGTTTGAAAACGAATCCACAATAAAATGAAGTGAACAAAGAACCTAGTTCTTACCAACACGGCCTGGAACTTCATTAAAAATAAAGTTCTTCCACTCTTTCCTAATGTTGTGATCTGAAGGAAGGCAATCCATCCAAATACTGTTTTTTTTTTGTTTTTTTCCACAACTTGGCACTGCACAGCATCTTTTTTGTCTTCAGAGCCAGCTTGCCTCTCTCCTAAACACTACATGTGAGAATTGGTGGACGGGGCTAAACAGGCAGGGATGTAGAAGCAGGCGGTGATCTTCTTCTGCAGAGGTGGTGTTTAGCCATACTATTACATCAAAGAGTGGTACATTACACAAGCTGTCGTTTTGGCAAGCTGTCTTCAATATAAGATGTTTTTAGCCTAACGACAAAGTTTTGACTTCTGAAACTTACAAGATGCTTTTATAGTATTTATAGTAGTAGTTATAGTTCATAGCTCTTATGCCAAAAGATCAAGGGAATTTTGGTTTCTTAGTTCATGACCCCTTTAACCCTCAAGCATCCTTCGTATAGCAGCCCTTAATTGGTCCTTTGTGGGCTCTTAGGTGTGATTTTTTTTTTTAAATAAACATCTTATCATACCTTTGATAAAACAAAAAATATCAATTTATGCAATTTTTTGTGATTTTTTAAATTTACCTCTAAAAGTACTATATTTTTATGTAAAATATGCTTATTTTATGTTATATTTCATATTTATTTTACTTCAGTAAAAAAAATATTCATTCCAGTAAGTTCAGACAGCCAAAACCTAATATTTTGGGGACACTGGTTGTTACGGGGCTGACGAGACGTGAGACGTGCGGATCCATGTGCAAAGCTTCATTCTGGAGACGTGGTCAGAAACAGGCATAAATCAAACATTGGAGAACAGGTATGTAAGAGACAAGGCATGGGCAGTCCGGTAAACAGTGAGGGTCAATCGACAATGAACATAATCCAATAGGACGAGACTAGAGAGATAATCCAGGTACAAAGTAAAGGTCCAGGCAGGGGCAAACAGTATCCGAACAGGGCAAGACGAGAGAGGTAATCCAAAGTGCACAGGCAAAGATCAGAACACGAGGAATCAGACAAGGCAAGACTAGGCTAAGACTATGAAATTTCAAGTAGGCTCCGTAATGAAGCTATCACAACTAGCGATATGCGCATACAATACTCGGCAGTTTGAAAGGGATCTGAGTGAGTGTTATATAGTGAATGTGTGATTGGTTACAGCTGTGTGCAATCAGTGCTGTGTGCAATCGACGGGACCGAAGATCCCCCCGGCGGAGCAGAAGACCACCAGAGCAGGACAGAAGACCACCAGACTGGAGCAGACGGAGCAGAAGACCACAAGAGCCAGACAGCAGACCACCACGGCGGAGCAGAAGACCACCAGAGCCAGACAGCAGACCACCACGGCGGAGCAGA